GCAGCCGTATCTACACTTGTATGTACCCCATACGGAGCTCCATTCGTCACGCAGCACATCATTTCGCCATGCTCGAGCTGCATCTGCAAGTTCTCTTATAAGTCCATCGTCCCATTCAGGGGCAGTCGTCTGCTGCTGCTCCCAACGTAGAACTTGTAGCTGCCCTGCTGCAACTGCCACTTCTGTCCCTCCACGCTCCACACGCTCAAGTCTCTTCTTGTGAGATGGAATGTCACCGACTGCGACTCATTAGGCTGTAAAAAGGGCTTTTCGAAGCCGCGAAGCTGCTTCGCCGGAGCTCCTGGAATACCAATGTAGAGCTGCGCCACTTCGGCACCAGGAACGCTGCCTGTATTTTTAATGTTTACGCTGACGGTGGCGATTGCATCCCAGAGGTCCGTTTGCCCGCCGCTGACAATAGGGCCACCCGGCCATTGATATGTGTTTGCCCCCTGAATATGGTTGATGGATATGTTGGAATATGCAAAGGTCGTGTAGCCAAGTCCAAAGCCGAACTCGTATCGGGGTTCAATACTCTTCTTGTCAAAGTAGCGATAGTCAAGATACACTCCCTCGTGGAAATCGGCCTGGGGAAAGTTGGCGAATTCGCCTTCAGGCTGTACTGGATCGAGAACATCGCCATAATCAGATTCATTCTTCGCCACTGTGTAGGGAAGCTTGCCAGAAGGGCTGGTATCCCCGAAGAGAAGCGAAACGAGTGCTGGTCCACTCTCTTGGCCTGGCAAATGGGCAAAGATGAGTGCGGTGACATTCGGATGATCAACGAAGCCGTCTACCAATCGAGGCCCAGCGTTGTGAAAGACAACAATGGTCTTGCTACACTGGTCAGCCACCGACTTGATTAGGGAGTCTGTATAGTCATCTCGAATAGCAGGACGGTCGTATCCTTCGCAGGCCCATGCGTTACCAAAGACAATGCAGGCATCGGAACTGGGCTCAACGGAGGGCTTGTTGGATAAGAAATCGTTGAATACAGCCGTACCCTCTTGAGAAGCCCTCATCTTCAAGGCCTCAAATGGGGAGATTGTGAGTGCTGGCGTGATGGCCCCGGAGCCACAGCCGCCGAACATGGTGCCATTTTTGCCAAAAGTGGCCAGCCCATTATCAGAAACATAGTTTGAGTCAAGCGCCTCCATACCCGTGATCCAGTTCTGGCTGTACATTAGATTTGAAGACGGATTGAAAAAGTCCGGAGTCTTAGCAGAATAGCCAAAGAGGGAGAGCATGCGAGGCGACTTCAAAGGCAGTGTATTCTTTGTGTTTTTGACGAGGACGTGACCTTCAATGGCGCCATTCAGGAGAACAGGTGCAGCAGCAGGATCTCGCCCATCAACAATTTTATGAGGATCTAGGACATTAGAAGGCATGCCCACCCCCGGCTCGGGAAAATCGGTGTCCTGATTGAACTGATACCAGGTGGCAATGACTCTACACGTGTATCAGCAATTGTAGAGTTTAATAACGATTAGCACCATTACCTTGTTGCCATGTCCGTCACTCGCGACTCTGGCAATGAGCCATTCTTCACGGCTTCAACCAAGTGATCGCCCCAGAAATCGCTTGCACCGGGCATGGCCACATCCAGGCCAGCTTCTGCAGTAGCAACTCCTGCATGCTGAGCGCCCCAGTCGGAAACAACGAAACCCTTGATTCGAACAATGTATTAGTGTCACCATACAATGTATAAGAGGGAGGATAAAACAAGATGAGAAGGCCTTGGGACAGGAATTTGCGTACCTGGAAGCCGAGCTCAGTCTTGAGAAGACCATTCAGGGTCTTGCTATTGGAGCAGCCGTACGAGTTGTTGACACGCTGGTAGGAACACATGATTTTTCCACTGCCCGCTCTCACAGCATCTTGAAAGGGCCTGGTAAGGGGAGCTGATGATTAATATTTGATCATAGATGGCTCTCGAGGGAGCAGCTCTTGCTTACCAAAGGTATACCTCGTGCATTGTCTTATCGTCAATGTTCGAAGACACAGAAGACGTATTTCCTTCTGGGTTACGGTTGGTCTCTTGCTCGTTGCCGATGTAGTGCTGTGAACGTATTACTTGTCATGTTTTAAGATCTAACATCTCCGGTGAATGGCGAGGGCACTTGGAATTCGACTTACCTTGGTACTAGTTATAACACCCTGCCCCTGAATACCAGAAACAGTCTGAGAAACCAAGACGCCAGACAACCAAGGATCGACAGAGATGCCTTCCCAGTTTCTCCCACCACGAACCGTACGCCAAGCAGGGCCAACAACAGGGCCGAGCAAGACATTGACGCCTTTCTTCTTGAACTCTCCACCCATGGCAGCTCCCCTCCTGAAAGCCAAGTCCTTGCTCCAGCTAGACCGCGGTTAACCTAACAGTGTTCCTCGACTAGATAGCGGGATTTTGACTAAGAAAATGAAAAGAATCTCTCACCTAGCACCAACATGGATTCCGCTGGGGAAACCGCTAACAAAATCTGTATTGCGAAGCCCATTGCCAGCATCACTGAGGCACATGCCCGGAAAATGCAGACGCTTGACGGCAGGAATAAAGCCTGAGCATGTAGACTCAGCTGTAACACCTGCCGTTAGATTAACCTGGCAGTAGGTCAAAAATTGGGTTTTTTTTGTAAAAGGCATCCAAATTTGTGACATCCTCCCCTTACCTTTTCTTCCAGAGTCATCTTGCCGACCAAGACCTTGGCCTTTTGGAAAGCCGCCTCCCACTCATTGCCGCCCACCATTTCAGCTGTTCGGCCATAGTATCAATATCAGAATCTTGCATCTTTCCATCAGGCTGTTGGTACATACGTGATGGATAAACCGGCGGCGACTGGCCATAGAAGTGAGCATCATCAGTGATGACATCTCCAGCGGCGCCCGTCCAGAACGCGAGGCCGGCAAGTAGGGCGATGTGCCTCATTACCACCATGATTTCGGTCGATCGCAAAGCGAAAATCAGTGCCGAACATGCGCGTCTACAGCTGGGGATTGAATACGTAAAACTTAGAAAGCGATTGGCTCTAGAAAAGAATCATTCGCGCGCTCGCAGGCTAAAAGACGAAGGCCTCGTTGAAATTGCAGAAAAACGACGTTGCCGACAAGTCTTCTATGACGAGTTGTTACCACTGAACGAAACAAGCAATTCCATACTACTCAAAGACGGCAGTAAAAAACAAGAGGAAGAGGATAAAGAGGAGAAGAAAGGGGACGAGAAGAGGGGGAAAGGAAAACAAGTTGATTTATCCAAGTCCTGATCCAAACAACCGTGAATTGAGACATGCATACAAAAAACTCCCGCCCCTTCCCATTGTCCGTGCAACTCGAAAATCAGGTGCCTCCCACCGGCAAAGCGGCAGCTCCTTCCCACTGGTTAAAGGGTGATCAACTGCCTACTAGGTAGTTTGGAGGCACGCAACAATACAGCAGCTGCCGTAAACCGCAACCGCAACCGGCCGTTGTTGCTTGCTTGTTTACAAGCTTGAACTGGTTGTATTGCTGCTTCCCCGCAAAACCCGGACGAGAAAAGAGGGCGAGCAGCCGATTGGCGAGTTGGCGAAGGCTGGGGCCAATGAGGGAGCTTGGAGCTCTTTTTTTTGTTTGGCTTGGCGGAGGGTGATCCACTTGCAATGACGATTGTGTGCATGACGTTGGGAGAAGTACTCGGTACTGTCATGTTCGTTGCGTGGTATTCATGAGTCAAATACGAGGCCGTGTTTATCTCTACGACGCGTTTGGTTATTTAGACATTGGATAAAAATTAATGTGAATACTAATAAGAGAAAAAGACGAGAATGAAAAAAAAGAAAAAGAAAAAAAATCAACTGAGCGAGTAGCAATTGCACGTTTCGATCGTGCGACCTCCGGGTTATGAGCCCGGCGCGCTTCCACTGCGCCAAATTGCTTTGTAAACCTGCTGCGGCTGTTGGTAACGACGTGGTGCTCAATCCGATTATGAAGAAAACACTGATATCACAACAATGAAGAAAACACTAATATCACAACAATGAAGAAAATTGGACTTTTCAAAGACTGGCACAGTTCATGTGATGAATATGGCTCGAAGGGAAAAAATGCATTTTAGCTGTTCGATTGTACTCACAGAGATTGGTCGTTCAACCATGACTGCAATAATTCAGGCACGCATCTGTGTACCGTCTGCCTATCAATCTGCCACGTGCTTTCATCCCGTCGTCGCACCATCCATCCGCACATCAAGTACTTAATAAGAAAAAAAGGAAGAGAGAAAGAATTCAAGCACACTTTTCAACTTTCTCTGCTTGCAATTGCAGACTGATCAAGTCTAGTAATGAAAATAAGAGAAGACTTAGGTATCACTGATGGAAGGAAAGAAAATATATAATATCCACCAGTCCTTCATTGATCCACAGGATTCTGGCTTCCCCCTTTTCCACCTCTTCCTCGTTGGCCCCCATCATGTCTTCTTAAGATATCAACTTCAACCCTAGTAACGTAAACTCAAGCAGGCATCCTCCTTCTTCTCATCCTAGATTTCAACAGTCCTCCCCCCTCCCCCCTCCATCCCCTCCATGGCCTAGTATAGATTGGCCGGGGGAATTATACAAAGAAAATAAACAAAAGGGTCAAAAAAATAAAAATAAAAATAAATAAAAAACACGGAAGAGTGGCATGCCCCCGCTAATGTATATGTGAGACAAAAAACCAAAAAATGTAGCCGAGAAGCTTTGGTGCCGATGAATAATGAATGTGAAGCCGTAAAATGCCATAATCATGCATGAAAAAGGGGGGGCCGAGTCGACTCAGGCAGCCCTAAACCCGGGTGTCGAAAAATAACCGGTGGTTGAAGCGTATTTCGAGACCCAGGCAGGTAAAATAACGAGTAGGCGACGATAATAATAACATTGATGGAAAGATGGGAAAAGGTGCTCTAAATAAGTAACCTGGAAAAAACACAAGTGTTAATGATCCACGCTACCACGCCACGTAGCAATAGATTGAAAAGTACGTTAGGGACCTTATAGTATTAACTTTTTGAGGTTTCGCTGGATAATCATGTCTTGGACGGAGCCCATTGTGATTTTCAGCAGGTTTGTGTCGGTGGCATTTGTGAAATGGCCATAGATTTCTTTTTCGGGGTTCCTGCTAAGGGCTCGGAATTTGTCTAGGAAGTATTTGCTGGCTGCCTTGTAATCGTCGTCGGGTCCGTGATAATCGGTGAATCCGTACTTGGAGATCGGGCTCTTGGGGAGCTTCTCTTTGAACAGATCCATCTTGTTGAGGAACAGAATCAGGGATGTCATGGTGAACCAGTGTGAGTTGGCGATGGATTCCCACAGCATCAAAGCCTCGTTCATTTGGTTCTAGCATCTCATGTCAGTTCATTGCGTAGCGTTGAGTAGGTATTTTCTTGCCGAGAAAAACTTACGCCATCCTTGTCTTCCACAAGACACTGGTCGTAGCCACTAATGGCAACGAGGAAGAGGAGACAGTTGACATTCTCGAAACAGTGGATCCACTTCTTTCGTTCTGATCTCTGACCACCGACATCAAACATACGGTATGTCAGCTGGCCAAGGTCAAAGACGGTTTCCGTGATACCTGTAGTTCTCAATCGAGAGCGGAGCAGATCTTGGTCATTCGGTACATAGCCGTCGGCCCATATCCGGTCAATGTCTGTAACGAAGCTGGACGGGAGTTAGCCATTGCGCTCAGCAACTAGATAAAGTGGCGGCCGCTTAAGCAGCAAAGGGTGAACTGACTATGTGAGGTTGTCGTGTAAGGCGTATTCATTGCCCTTGGCAACTGCTGCCAACACTCCGCTGTCTTGCCATAGCGCCTTGATAGGCTCTAGGTAGTCCTCAGGCATGCCGCTGTCTGGGCTGATTTCGTTGTCAACCAAAATGTGAGCCATGTATTTCTATAAATAGCATACGCGTTAGTAAGTGTTTCATGATTTTGAGCTGTGTAACACCCTTATCGCTCCCCGGTGCCATATGGTCTTGCATCCACGGATAGCGTAACACAAGCAAGCACAAACACGGGGCTGACGCAGGGAGCGTATATAGAGACATGCAAGGGTTGTGCGGTGACAAGGAGGGGCCCGAGACCCAATGGTGATTACAAACCTCGTTATCTGGGCTGTCATATTCAATTCCAATCTCGGACATGGCCTCGGAGATGGTCTTGAATGACTGGACAATGTTGTTGAAGATGACTGGCTTGAAGTCAAGTCTTTCGCTCTTGTTGAAGCCCTGAGCATAGATGAGCTTCATCTGCTTCAGAATCGTAGACTTTCCGGACTCTCCAGCGCCTATAGATGGTGGAAACACGAGCGCGTTAGCACATTCAATACCACAGCAGCAATAGATGCTATGCCTTTGCTCATTCCAATTGCTGTCCATTTCTATGTCATTTTCCCCCCTGGCCGCTGAAGCTGGAGAAAAAAAAAGGAAAGTTTTCAACAGGACATCGCAATCAAGACTTACCCAACAGCAACAACTTGACTTCTTTAGCCATGCGCTTCTCCTCCTGGCGGATGACCTTGTCCAGCTCTCGCGAGCGAGCCTCGCCATCTTCGTTCTTGTTCCGAGCGCCGAAGCACATCGTGGCGTTCTGTGACCTGGAATTGGCCGTCGTGACGGTCTTGTGGTGTATGTGATGTGCAATGGCTGAATCGGCGGCCGGGTCGTGAAGTCGCGTTCACGGAAGCGGCGGCCTGCGGGAAAGGCTTGAATCAACGGGTAGCGGCAGAAATTCCGATACTTTGTCTTTTCTTTCTTCTTTTCTTTTTTTTTTGACGTGTGTGCACAAGCGTGTGCGTCCAAGGCGTATCAGTTGACAATGGCAAGATTGTCGCTTAGCAAAAGTGCTACCGTGCTGCCAGCGTTCGATTGGGAGAGAAATGCGGTGCTTCCTCTTCGCCCCTTTGTTTCGCGGTCGTCTCTGTGCCGCGCGAAAAGGCCCCTGTCAATCTCGAGTCCCTGTCGGCCCGTCGCTGTGTAGGGTCCGTCAATCGTCGCCGTCCGTCGTCGATCGGGGTGAGGATCAGGGCACGGATGGAGAGGAGAAGGGAAAGACGGGCTTGGAGAAAGAGGTTTGGACGGCCAAGTAAGTACCCAAGGCAAGGTTCAAGCAAGCAAGCAAGCAAGCCAACGACACTGAACTTGGACTACCTTGCCGGAACAGCACAAGCACTAGCACTTGGGCAGAAAAGTGGTGACCAGAGGTACGAGTACAGTACAAGTACGAGAGAGGAGCGAGAAGAAGAAAATGACAAGATTAAACCCTTTGCCGTCCCCCGTCCAAAAGGCGCCGGGGATGACAAACTGCGACAGCCTATTGTGCCTTTGGGGGGATGGATTTCTTACAAGCATGGAGCAGTCTAAACAACCTGTATTGAGCAAGCTGCTGCCGGAGCATGGCATTTGCATGGGGGCCCTGGGCGGTTCTTTCTATGCATGACCGGGGGGGTCTCTAGTGCCTGCGGCGGCCGAGCCTGCCATCGAGCTTCTCTTCGAGACACCAAGACACTCTAGCGTCCTTCGACGCTACGCTACAGGGGGCGAATAAGGGGCTTGTAGCGGACGGGCCTGGGAGATACTTGTGTGCTACTCGACAGGGATGGGTGAATACTTGATAGAGCAGAGGGAGATTCGGCAGAGATGCCGCCTATTGGCCACGGCTATTGTATCGCCGTCCCACCCAGAGGTACTGTCTGGGTCTTCATCCCGAGTCGACAGCGGAGTATCCTCTACGGCCCGAACTGGAATCCAGATGTAGAATTGGCAGTAGAGGATACCAGGGCAGAGCCGGCCATTTGCGGCAAAACGCAGTCAACAGGAGTGGCGGAACCAACATCCCCGAGGTCGCAGGTACCAGCCGCTGCTCAGTCTCGCCGGCAGCGCAGGTACCCAGTACCTCCGGCTGCGTACTCCGCATGGCTTCCTGTAGCTTTTAGGCCTACCACCTGAGTGCCACGGAGCTCCTCATCTTCAACTCCATTTTAGTGGTCCCTGCATGCGGCGCACACGTTTTTCCACACCAAATGCTGAAGAGACATTTGGGCAACTACCGGAGCGGCGGATCAAAGACGACTCGTGGCACGACCTGATGAAGGAGGGCGATCCCTGCGCGCGAGCCGCCGTGCGGAGCAATACAGCATGTCATGACAGAGGCAAAAGTGACAGGATGAAGAAAATTTTGAAGAGGAAGAAAAAAAAGAGACAACCCGAAAAACACAAGAGCCCACAGAAAAGGGAGATGATATTACTCCGGAGATGGAGGCAGAGATGGATGCCAAAAAAGCGGCTTCATTCAATTCGCAAGCACAGGCTCCCTCCAAGTCCTTCTCTTCGCCACCAATGCTACCGCACTCGTCGGCAGATGGTCAGCCATCCCCTACCTGTATCAGCATGCAGACACCAAAAACCATGGATCTGCTTACGAGCACAAACTCGCCAAATGCTTACCAGCCATGCGCTGCGACTACGCGCTGCTACCCAACAACATCAGACGGCTGCGCTCTCAGCCGACCATTGGCAAAATTCGCAAAAGCAACCCGCAAGGCTCGCACTTGGGAGGGCACTAAAGCCGGTGCTACTGTAAGAGCAGAGCACTTGATCCCATGCCAACGGCGGTTGACATTACGCCACCCGGACTCAAAAAGCTGCCTCGTGGAATACGGAGTGGTAATGCTAGTGTGCTAGTGATTGCAGAACGAGAATGGCTGATCCGGGTATGCATCCAGAGTGCGCCGTAGTCCTTGTATCATTTCCTTTTCCTTGGTTTCGGCACCAAGGCGAAGGAAGCATGGGGGACATTTGATGACCCAGGACGCAATCAATGCAGACATACAGATCGGCGGGCATCGTTCCGTCCAGCGTCTCAGCTATCGAGGATGCGAAACACCAGTCTGCCTTTTCTATTTCTATTTTGATTCTTATTTCCCCAGTATCTTTATAATGCTCGTGCTCTTGCTCGTGCCAGCATTATCCCGAGAAGACGAACAACAACAAGAAAGAAAAGAAAATAAAGGCAAGGGAAGGGGAAAAGCGTCCCTACCGAGAGACACTCGCGAGCATCACCGTGGCGAAGGACGGCCCGTGCCAGGGGAGCCTCTCCGCCTTCGCGTGCTGGGTGGAGCTTGGATAGCTTGTTCAAACTTGCTAGCAAAGGGCCGGCCATGGTTGATGTCTCTGTTAGTTCGAGCCTCCAATTAATCCATTCAATTACATGTACGAGGCATACGAGACGGCGCAGGTACTTATTACTCGTACTAGCACGACTACTGTGCGGCGCTCATTCTAACAGCGCCGGCGTCGGGTGTAGCGGCGACGATCACTTTGATATCGTGAGATTTGCACGGAGCGGTTGGGGGGAGAAAGAGAAAGGGAGAGAGAGAAAAAAAATAGGAGAACCGGTTCAACACCACATGGCGGGAGCTTATTCACGTACGACTACACGGTAGCATCGGTAAGCCACTCGCATGTCATTTGCATTCCTATCGGAGGAGGTGGCGGCCGCAAACGGAGATTTTCCAACTCTTTGCCTTGGTCGCACATGCTCGGCAGCCTCGTGCTTCCAAGACATGGTGTTGCAGTGCAGCTTGGATCGGCACTTTGGGTTGTCTCGCCTGCACCGCACGCACGAGGGAAGAGGCTCTCGTATTTTACTTCACATGACTGCCATGCTGCTGGGATTATTTTTTTGGGTAGCCTCGTTCAGGGAGGAAGCAAGGCTCTAGGATGATGCTGCTTCACAGTGCAATACCAAGGTCGGTCAATACAGTAGGTCGCACAGAGCCTCGTCCATGTGGCATGCAAGTCATTTTGCAGCCATTCGTTGCATACGACGATCTGCCAGACGACAATCTCGACGCTGGCTGCAGCTCGTCAGCCTAGGGTAGCTAGCGTATTGAATTCCGTGCCGTGTCTCGTACGAGTCCATGAAATGAGAACGAATTGAGCTCAACTGAACTTTCACACACACACGAAGCAGCTTATTACGTGTAGTAGCCTCTCCAGATGAAAATGCCTCATTGGGCATGAAGCAACCTCGTGCTTGGTCGCATTGGCTCTAGTGTCGATAAAGATTCCTCTTTGGCATCCAACAGGCGTTTGACTCGGTTGCATTCCGTGCAAAGCCGGGCTGCTTATCCGTCAAGTCTGAACCACGGACCAGACATCAGGCAGTTGTCCAGAAGATCTGAGTTGCCCAAAAGGTATGAGGGGGCCAAGATGACAACTTCGACGGGCTACAGTATCGTACAAGTACAGTTGGTTTGAGCTTGACCAACATGTCATCTATCAGCTTTTCTCCCAGTCTGCCGGGGTCTCGTTTATTCAATGACACCAGAACCGCGTGGCAATTTCGCAAGGTGCCCTTGGCCAGTTCTTTTTTTTTTACGACATGTCAAAAAGAGTACTCGTACGGGTGCTCCATACCCGTTGGCAACAAGAAGAAAAAAAAGAAAGAAGAGATTAGTGTGCCGATGGCGGGCCATGTTTTGATTTGAAACATCGGCGCGATGGCAAGGGTCTGTAGCGTGGGAGGAGGCCTAGACGGGGGGTCCCTTGTCTGGACCAGGTAGGAAATGGTGTCGATGGAGCGGTACAGAGTGGCATCGCCTAGGTCAGTCTTGTCGAATGTCTGTTACACTCCACATCTGGCTGTGTATTTCCGGGATTTCAGTCCCGTCTGTTTAGAGATTCCACGATGGGCAACTGTGCGCGATTCGGTGCTGATAGAGCCGGCCTCATCGGTGCCTAGTGACGCTACCTTGCCAACTTATCAGGTAGGTGGCTGTCTTCCAAGACATTTTGCACGGACTGGGTACGGGATGTTCAGTTGAAATAGATGTCCCGAGTCCGATACGTCATACACGTTCTGTATCTTCGTTGTAGATGCTCATCGTGAATATGCACGTTTGGTGGTGCTCCTGGGAGTGGTGGCCACACAAAGCGCACCTGACACTCACGGTAGAAATCATTGAAATATTACACAACATCTGGCAATCCTAGTTGAATACACATTTATTTTCACCCGCCATGGATTAGAATGGTCGGCAAATATCATCATCATTTGACCTCCAGTTGTCTGGCCTAGAATCGAGCTACCCTAGAGCACTACCGGTGAATACAATTACAGAGCTCACCCGGAGACATGCATAGCCCAATAAATGTTTTTGGATGTCTATAGAAGTATACAGCACAGCATATCGAGTCAATGGCATGATACAATGTGTTGTGGTGGCTAAAAATATCCCTTGGCGATTTGGTAAACGCACAGATAACCTCACCTACATGAACAGATCCTTCGATGCCACACAAGACATGGTCCCCCACCCATTGAGACAGAAACAACTGCAATGTGACTTCGGTGATTTCTAACAATGGCCAAAGATCGGCATTTTGGACTGTTTTGGCAATTCCAGCGGGGAATACATTGAGTTGACACGCTTCCCCAGGCGCAGCCCCGTTCTGTCTCTCCCTCCCTACAGACGGCTTATTCTGTCCTCGTGATATCATGCGATGCATCTCTGAAGCGATAACATGATTTCTTAACCGCACCAATGCGGTGACCGGATATCTTTCGCTGTTGTTTGAGCCATTCATATGTAGCAATCTAACGTGAATCTTCGTGCTGCAAAGACGTATACATTGAGCATGGGCGGGATCGAACGAGCCATCCAGCCTCCAACTTTGTGTCTCCGGGGTAAAGGCAACAATAACTCGTTCTCTACCTCGATGATGTAAAGTCTCCAGCGTTATTTGAGCGACTTTATAACTGCTTTGATGTTGGGAAATAAGATTAGATGCGCATCGATTTCCGTCATATTGCCTACTATCCAGAATACTGCGGTTAAACATGAACCATTAACTCGGCTCTTTAGAGCTCTTCCTTACCATGATCAAATCAGATATGTTTACTAATCCAATAACACCGTAAATATTTCTTATGATGACATCCCTTTCAATACTGTCCGCGTGGGAAGAAACGTCAAAAGCAGCAGCAAAAGACACTTGATTATCGAGCTACTGTTAGAATTTGTGCTACAAAGAATCGGTCACAACTCCCTCCATGGCAAATATTTTCTATTGCAAAACTTGAGAGAGGAGTTTATCACGATCAACTCACATCTAACCCTCGCCAGAAGCTTTTTGCTAGACCTTAAGCCTTGGGGGAGGCACATAGCCGTGGAGACTGCGGGTATAATGATAGCTATCGATGGCTTTGTTTTAGCCTAGGTAAGAAGCGAATCGCCATTGTAATTTATGACAATGGCGTTTACTGTTTGTCAGCCTATACCTGAGGGAATCTCATATTCGCTGTCGGTTGTGAGTCTGGAACAGGTGGCTCTCCGCATGGGCGTGGAAGCTGACAATACATGTGTATTGGAGCTAGATGGCAAACGAAATCGAACTATAAATGTCCTTTGCCAGAAATGGAGCTTGTCGCAGCATCTATATCAAGCAGATTCAGAAGAGGTAGACACATTTGCAAGAAGTGGGTGATGCCTGGGTGCCGAAGATGATGCCTTCGATCTATCAATGGTGGCCGAGACAAATCTCTAGCAATGGTCCATGACCATTAATTCTACTCTAAATATAGGGAACAATTCGGATAGTTGCTTTAAAATTATCGACTTGTGATGCTGCTATTTTTTTCGTGGCCGCCCGAAGGCCACAACTCTACATGTACATTCATTCTGATCAAATGGCAAGCAAGCACGCCTCCCAAACCGATAACATCAGCTACTAGAAGAACGGTGGCGATAGTAGTAGCAGCAACCATGCCCAGTATCCACACAGATAGGTACTGAAGAGTGACAACAATGATAAAATGCTGTTACCCTCTGCACATTGCCGTGGCATTCATAACGGCCATATTGACCTTGAAACGAAACATTTGAGCGCTCCTCGAATATTAGATACCTTGGTATAACGTAACATGTGCTTTTCAGTATCTACATTGAGACTAGTCCTCCATCGATATTCCGTTGAAAAAACTCCAGAGAGGGCTACAACTTGTGAGTAGCGTGATGTATTGCCTCATAGGGGAATTTTCTGAGAATCTGGAGGTTTGGTGGATTCGGGGTTGTTGAAGGCGGAACTCGCCAACCAGTCGTCTGGGCTACCAAATTTCCCCCCCCCCTTCTCTGGCCCCAGGTACATGGCCCCATTCCGCAGCTCAAGAAAGGTACCTGGGAGAGATACCGTTTCGGTTCTGGAACCAGGCGCTGTGGCCAATCAGCAGCTCCGTAGACAAGCTGGAGCCCAATTACTGGTCTCGGCTAGCTCGAAGCTTCCCGACGTCATGCTGTGCCGCAAAGTAGACGGATGGCAGCACCGCCAGCAGAGGAGGTACCTGATGGGAGGTCTTTTCCAAGGCTCAACACTCTCGTTCAGCCTCCAAAGCCATTGTAATACTGAGAGATAATGTACAAGAAAAGACACTGGATTGAACGGACACACCGACAGACATGATTCAGGCAGCTTGTCCTCGTGGCACTGCATCTCGCACGATACACAGCCGGGCTCTTGCTCTTGCTCTCCGTCTCCAGTTGGCAAAAAGTGCGCCAAAATTTTTCACCCCACCAAACCCAAAGCCAAACCCAATTGCGACCGGTCTGTTCCATGCCTCTGTACGAGTAGGCGCTCGGCTCCCTGCTTTTCCTCTCCCGTCTTTTCCTCCCTTGACATCGACTTCTTTCTCTTCTCCTTTTTCTCCTTCATCGACTTTTCTTCATTCCACTTTGATACCCCGTTTCCCGTCTTTTCGCCGCCCCTACACAGCAAACACAATGTCTGACGAAATTGTTCACCCCACCATCCAAGGTTTGTAGCTAAAAATCCCTTCCAACGAATTGATGTCTGCCGTACCCCGCCCTGCCTTGGAAATTTTATTCCAACTGCGTCCCCATGGCCATGATTGGCATGACGATGAATTCATCTGTTCCCTTAGTAGATGAGAGAAGCCAGCGCTGTACAATGCTCGAGAAATCTGGCAAGCTGCCGGTTCATCCAGGTGTCTAGATAAGATACCTATCGAGATAAGAAAAAAAAAAGTTGCCATGGCGGGGTCTCTATTGAACCAAAGGCCTTCCATGTGAAAACGACGTCAACGCCTGATTGGACCTGTATCGATACCTCGCAAACCTGATGCTAACTACTGGTGATGCCTCATAGATGGATGGTACCGCGAAATCTCCGACATGTGGCCTGGCCAGGCCATGACCCTCAAGGTCGAGAAGGTGCTGCACCACGAGAAGAGCTTGTACCAGGACGTGCTCATCTTCAAGTCCACCGACTACGGAAATGTCCTCGTCCTGGACAACGTCGTCCAGGCCACTGAGCGCGACGAGTTTTCCTACCAGGAGATGATCACCCACCTCGCCATGAACTCCCACCCCAACCCCAAGAAGGTGCTCGTCATTGGCGGCGGTGATGGTGGTGTCCTCCGTGAGGTCGTCAAGCACGACTGCGTCGAGGAGGCCATCCTCTGCGACATTGACGAGGCCGTCATCCGCCTGTCTAAGCAGTACCTCCCCAACATGGCCGTTGGCTTTGAGCACCCCAAGTCCAAGACCCACGTTGGCGACGGCTTCAAGTTCCTCGACGACTACAAGAACACCTTTGACGTCATCATCACCGACTCTTCTGACCCCGAGGGCCCCGCCGAGAGCCTCTTCCAGAAGCCCTACTTCCAGCTCCTGCACGACGCTCTCCGCGAGGGAGGTGTCATCACTACCCAAGGTTGTATGTCTCTTTTTTCTTTGGGAAGGCGAGCAGCCCCCCAAGGGTGTAGCCGGCCTGATGGAAGCGACCTGAGCTGCTTTTCTTGACTTGAGAATCAGTTTTGGTGATTGCATCAGTGTCCGACTCCCTAGGGGCTGCCAGAGCCAGTGCTGCCTTCTCAATTGAGCCTCTTGGTAGTTCCGAGAAAGGCGACATTGTCTCAGGAAAAGTGAACACATAGGGCGAAGCATTTTCGCTGAGCTAGGATTCTTGTGCCCTTTTCATTTTCAGATTGAGCAAGCAGCTAACGTCTGTGATTCAACCAGCCGAGAGCCCCTGGCTCCACCTCCCTCTCATCGCCCGTCTCAAGAAGGACTGCGGTGAGGTCTTCCCCGTCGCCGAGTACGCCTACACCACCATCCCCACCTACCCCTCCGGCCAGATTGGCTTCATGGTCTGCTGCAAAGACGCCACCCGCGACGTCAAGGTTCCTCTGCGCAGCTGGACCAAGGAGGAGGAGGACGAGAAGTTGCGCTACTACAACTCCGAGATCCACAAGGCCAGCTTCGTCCTGCCCAACTTTGCCAAGAAGGCTCTGCAGTAAGGGATGGTAAAAGACACCTGTGATGATTTTTATTGAATGAGAGCGTTTGGATCAAACGAAAGAGAAAAGGAAAATAAGAGGGAGGACGCAGGTCCTCCTTGACTGATGGGCAATGGCTTTACGGAAGAAAATGTCTCGGACTGGAAAAGATTGAGGGCTACATGGAAAGATTTACATTAAATGTAGAAAATATATAAACCACATCTTATATATATCGGGTTTCTCATGAAAAGGCTGTTGCATAACACCTGTTTGTGATACGCAAGATGTGACAGTTCAGCGCATCACCCTCTTACAATATGACACTTTGACGCCATGTTTTCCAATCACTGTGTTGGAATCATGATCAATCATGATTTTACTATTTTTTTTATTCTTTCTTCTCTGTATCATACTCTCATCATTCACAGCTCGTCAAACGAGATCTTGCCTTGATTTACATCGGGGTATACATCAAATCTTCTCTGGTTGTTCAACGGGATGTTCTTCCGGGCCTCGGCAATATCCTCGCCAACTAGCTCCGCCTGGACAATCGTCTCCGTCTCCTCGGCCTCGACTAAAACCTTGGCCATTGGGTTGACAATCAAGCTGTGCCCCCAGGCGTTGTAGCTGGCGCTCATGTCTCTGGCAGGGCTGCACAGGGCGACGTAGATCTGGTTGTCGACAGCACGAGCCTGAGCCAGCAGGCGCCAGTGCAAGGCGCCAGTGGTAAGGTTGAACGCGCCGGGATAGATGAGGGCAAAGGCACCGCGGCGGGCGGCGATGGTGGCGAGCTCGGGGAAGCGGACGTCGTAGCAGATGGCGACGGCAATGGTGCCGTACTCGGGCAGGTCGATGAGGGTCAGCTTGTTGCCACCGCTGAGAACCTCGGATTCCTTGAAGGTGATCTTGCCGGGGATGTCAATGTCGAACAGGTGGACTTTGCGGTGGGTGCCCAGCAGCTTGCCGTCGGGGCCAAACGTAAGGCTGGTGTTGTAGTATTTCTTGGTCTCGGGGTTCAGCTCGGGGACGGAGCCGCCGACGAGATAGACGTTGTTCTCGGCGGCCATGGCAGACAGGGCGTGGAACGAAGGCGACTGCTCCTTTGTCGGCGGCGACGGGAGCAGCGTCTCTGCGTACTTGGGGAAGTAGTCGCACCCGTAGGGCGAGTTGAAGCACTCGGGCAGGATCACGAGCTTGGAGCCCGACTGGGCGGCCTCGGCAACCTTTTCGGCGGCGTGCTTGAGGTTGGCATCCTTGTCGGCGCCCGAGGCAAGCTGGATACACGAGATGTTGATGGGCTTCTTGAGCACCGGGGCGGGAGAGGACGACATGTTGCGGAGGAATGAGGAGCGGAGGAGCGATGCGAAGGAGGCTTGGGGCTTGAAGAGGTAACTGGAGCTTTGGAGTATTGGCAGTCCGATTCTCCTGAGAGATGTTCGCATGACGGAGGGGAACAGAGCGAAAAGCAATGGTTGGCGATGATGAGGTGAGGTGAGATAATAGCCGATATTTCTTAAGGTACCTACCAGATTGAAGCCCGATAGCGATGCCGGAGGGGGGGCGGCGGTTCGGGACGGCTACGGAAGGGATCGTTACGGGGACCTGGGGGAACACCGGGTATTGCTGCAGCAAAGGTTTATTCTACATGTATTTTCTAGGCGACGAGGCGTTCAGTGTAGGTACCTAGTACATTATGCACGTCATTGGGACTTAGGTGCAGAAAGAAAAAAATAGGGAGAGAAAACCAAGAGAGAATGAGAGGAATTGCAAAGGAAATGGATCGAATAATTACAACGCAAAAGAAGCAAAAAAAGAAGGGATACCATTTAGCAATTGCACGTTTCGATCGTGCGACCTCCGGGTTATGAGCCCGGCGCGCTTCCACTGCGCCAAATTGCTTTTCTTTGGTGATATGGCACCTCGCTATGAGTCATGATATAGCCTTTGGCACAACGGCTGGTGGATACGCGGAGGCCTGGCACATGTGAGCTTTGGTTGTTATCAAGTTTTGTTATCGCGCATTGCGTCCCGTGCCTCTTATCGATGTGGCTCTTGACGCTGTGTAAGACACGGCAATGACGAATGGCAGCTTGGAAGAGATGTGGTTGATGCAGATGGTGTCGCATGCCGTGCTTTCATTGGAGGCGAGCGAGCGTTATGCAAAATGGATGAGGTGTCGCATTCGTCATTTGCAGGTTGGACTAGCATGGAGATGGCAGGGAGCGGCAGCCAAAAGGTGCCAGGTACTTGGAGTTAAGCTGGGCGTCTAACAGCGTGCCGTGGAAAACAGTGTGGCGTCCTGCTAAGACACTAACTGCAGCTGTGTCCCGCTTACCTTGATTCAGCTGCCTGCTTTTTCTTGCCAGGTACCGCAATCTGCCACAGCCTCAATCGGGCCAGGCAGCCTCTCCTTCATTTCATTGCTCAATTCCCATCTCGACACCTGTTCTCTACTAAAGAGAAATCCTACGTTTTTCTTTTCCTTTGTCGGCCTTTTCAAAGAACCAAGTCCGCGATACGTCTTGTGTGCCTCAGTCATGACCCGGGTCTACGTGTATACGGCGGGTCTCGTGGCCTTTGTTGCCGGTACGTCATCAAAATGGCCCCCCCCAGCTCCAGCTTTGAAGCTTTCGTTCGCGATGGGATCGATCGCCAAGCAAAAAAAAAAAAAAAATTAAAAAAATTGGCAGCGCCTTTTTTGTCACTACGGAGGCAGTGAAAGACGGGACTAACTCGAGCGCGCAGTCACCGCCATGATCATCGCCTCCGTCTCCGAGCCCCATTGGGTTTCGTACTCGGTGACAACGACCAAAGGCGAGACGTTGGAAAAGTACATTGGGCTGCACAAGAGCTGCTCCAGCCTGGACGACCCCCACTGCCGCGATTTCCCGTCCACGGAGCTGTGTCAGTACGGCGAGCGGTACTTCTGCTCCATGTGGCGGACGGTGGGCTTCATGGCCTCGTTTGTCATTGTTCTGTGCCTGGCCAGTCTGATAGCTTTTGCGCTCGTCATGGGCGGCGGGAAGTACAGGCGCGAGTCGGGCTGGCCGTTTGTCGCTGCTCTGCTGACGCTCGTCTCCGTTGTCGAGTTCATCATCATTTCCATTGTGGTACGTATAGATATGAGTGTACTGTTGCGGCGGGCTTCGGGGACTGACGTTTCACAACCACAGGCATACTTGTACGACCATGATGATCAGTTTACCGTTCCGGGCTGGAACCTGGATGTTTCGTGGTATCTTGGCACGGTTAGCGCTGCGCTTTCTTTGGTCACTGCCGGTGGCCTGGCTGCATCTGCCTATCTGCTGCCACCGGAGGAAGGCTACGAGTTTCTCAACGACCCGGTTAACGCTTGAGTTTGTCTCGCCTTTACACGATTTACGGCTTTGCTCATTTAGTTTTGGTTCATTTTCATCGGGCGGTACTGGATTATTGATTTCATCTTTTAAACTTCTCATTCTTCGTTATTGGTAACTGGACAATTTGGTGTTATAGCTTGGCGCTTGGGAGTTGTCAAACACACGGGTGGCTGAAATGAGAGTCTGACGCTGGGGCGTTATTATCTTACTGTTCTTTACATACAGTTGCGATATAATAATACAAGACATATTCGCGATCAAATCATGAGTCTCTTGCCATCAAACCTCGTAACCCGCGGCCCTTGTTGGCTGGAGCTGCTGTATTTGAATGTCTATCAGGGTCGTCGGCGGAGTCCGACTCTCGGAGTGAAGCCCCGGATGAGACGAAGCGGCTTCCGGCGGGGTTGATGGGAAACATGGAGCAAAAAGGCGATATCACCCCACTTGGAGACACTTACACGCACACTCATTATCAAAAGTTCGCCGACGGCCGTAAGGCGCTTGTAATTTCTCTATCTGGACCCTTTGTTCTGTGTGTCTCTTCTTCTTCTTCTTTTCTTCCTTCAACATCACCTCAAGTCTCACCGTACATCTCTCTTTCCTCTGTGGCATCTTTTACCATGGCTGAGCCAACCCCCGGCCTCACTCCCGAGCAACTCTCGGCCTTCCAAAGGGACGGCTACCTCATAATCCGCAACGCCCTCAAGCCAGAAACCGTCTCATCGCTCCTCGGCGAAACCAAGGGCTTGCTCGAGGGCTTCTCCCTCAAGGACCACCCGCTGACTCGCTTCTCCACAGGCGAGAAGACGGACCACGTGGGCGACGACTACTTCCTGACGTCGGGCGACAAGATCCGCTTCTTCTTCGAGGAGGACGCCTTTGACGACGCGGGCAACCTGACCAAGCCCAAGGAGCGCGCCGTCAACAAGATCGGGCACGGCCTGCACGTGCGCTCGCCGCCGTTTGCGCGGCTCATTGACGAGGCGGCGACGAGGGCCGCGGGCGAGGTCAGCCCGGCGGCCGTGGCGCGCGACCTCGGGTTCAGGGACGCGCGGTGCCTGCAGAGCATGGTGATTTGCAAGCAGCCCGAGATTGGGGGCGCGGTGCCGCCGCACCAGGACTCGACGTTTCTGTATACGAGCGCGCCGTCGGCCGTGGGGTTTTGGTATGCGCTCGAGGACGCGACGCTGGAGAACGGGTGCTTGAGCTTCTTGCCCGGTTCGCATCGCTGGGCGCCCGTGGACAAGAGGCTGGTGCGCAAGGCGGGCGGCGCGGGCACGGAGATTGTTGATAATGACGGGCTCAAGTTTCCTCCTGGAGAGGAGTATGGCGGGGAGAAGCTGGGCGGGGAGTACATTCCTGGTGAGGTCAAGGCGGGCGATTTGGTGTTGATCCATGGCAACATGCTGCATAAGAGCGAGAGGAACACGAGTCCAAAGGGGAGAATCATTTACACGTTTCACATCATTGAGGGCGAGGGGAGGACGTATGATGAGAGGAATTGGCTGCAGCCCCCCGAGGAGGGCTTCACCAAGTTGTTTGTCTAGGGGCAGTTTGGGAGAATAAAGGAATTTGATCAGACTATTGTTTCCTTGTTTTGTGGGTTTCATGTGCTCATTATGTCTTGAGGGAGTCTATCTAGCGCTCATGCTCTCTAATGATACATATATGCGTACATACCGTCATCCCTTTGAGAACTCAAAGAAAGAAGAAGAAAAGAAAAGGAAAAAGAAAAAGACCATTTAAACTTGAGAATCCCATCCCAGGTATCATATAATCTCCCCCCTATGTGGCATGACCACATGCAAACAGCTGACATATAATAGCCCACTCGATCAAGAAGATAAAAGGAAAAATTGACACTGTACATGATAAAAAAGAACTTTTGCCCATGTTCCGAATCGCCATGTTTCATAAGAGAAAGGTGAAGAAGAAGAAGAAGAAGAAGAAGAAGAAGCGCCGTGACATCTATTACTCTTCGTCTGAGCTTTCGTTGTCCGAGCCGGAATCTTCTTCAGACTCGGAAGATGAGGACGATGACGAGGAAGACGAGCTGCTGGAGGATTCATTGCCCGCATCAGCTTCCATGTTATTCTCATTATCATCATCAGAGTCAGAGTCATCCGAGGAACTGCTGCTGCTTGTATCTGAGTCGCTCTCCGACTCGGAAGAGCTGCTGCTGTCATCGACATTGGTCCGTAGCTTTCTCCGTCGCTTGCTCGGTCCGTCGCTCAATTTCACTTTGTTGTCGCCTTCGGTGGCCTTGGTGGTGTTGCTCTCGGCAACACTAACCTTTCCAGAAGAAACTGTCGTCGTGGTTGTCTGGCTGGCATCGGTCTCCTCGCCCTCAGATAATTGGTCGAGAACCATTTCCGCCCGCATGCGCTTAATCACACGTGTGATGACATCATCAACGTCTTGCGACGATGTTCGGTATTCCTCCTCGTCAAAGGTTTTCCTCTTCTGGCCCGTCTGCGAATGCAGCAATTGTGCAAGTAGCTGGTCGTACTTGATCTGCTTCTCCACAAGGTTGACTGAACCCTGTGGGAAGCCCGCGGCCCCTTCCGTGCTATCCTTTGTCCGCAGCTCCATGGCAGTTTCTTGTAGTCTCGTGCGAACGAAGCCCTTGATGTCACGGATATACTTGTAGAAAATGTCAATGTTGGCGGAAGGAAAGAGTATAGGATCGAAGGCGAACTTGATGAGGGTCGATTGGTGATTCTTGTTGAACTTCCACGAGTCTCGAGCCGAATTCCACAGACTCAAGTACTCAAGCGCAGGCTTGATATCCGCAGGCGAAGCAGAGTTGGTTTTAGCAGCTTGCTTCTTGCCAGGCACCTTGGCTTTCTTAGGTTTCGGTTTGTCGACGGGTTTCTTGGCGTCGTTGCCGCTCTTGGTGGGCGTCTCGCCAAACGTGACGGACTTCTTCCTTTTCAGCTGAGGGCTGGGAACCGCAGGCTGCGATTCGTTCCTTGATTTTTTCAATGCCGACAGAGGTTCGCCCGGTGGCGGGGCTTCGGGCTTCCGCTTGGACGGCATCGACTGGGTTTGCTGGGTCCTGCTACTGCTTGGATGCCCAACCTGCAGGGTTTCATTTGCTGCTTCGGGGGCGGAAGACTGCTTGAGCTTCAGGCCCAATCGTTTCCAGGCCGGCGCACGAGCCGTCGCTCCGTCGCCTGAGGAAACCATGTTGGGCGGGATGTGCGAAGGAAAAGTCTTTCTGTCGTGATCAAGACGTTTGAGAATATGGCTTTTGAGTCGCAAGAGATGGTCGATTGGGCTCTAGTCGCGTGTGTGGTTGAAGCCAAGCTCTTTTGGCGCTGGGCAACTCGACAGCAGGAGGCTCTCAGCTGTTGAAATCGAGAATTGAGGCGACTCCGGTGCGGAACAAGTCAATGCAGGTCCCCAATGGCTCGCTGCAATCGCAAATCAGGAACTAATCGATCTCCCGGAGAAGTTGTTCGCGCGCATTTGATCTCTTGTTTGATTTCTGCTTGCTCGATAAGATGCCCCGCCGGTTTTTTTTTCTGTCTCCACCGTTGCATATCGGGCGGTCACCGCGTTTCTCCTTCCAGAGCCTGGAGTGGGGTGCGAATTGCTGGCGCCTCAGGCTCCAAGATTACATAAGATCCCGACCTCAGCCTTGGACAAGCTCCCAGTGCTCTAGGCAAGCTGTGCTAACGCGTACGAGCACGGCCTGTAGAGCTACTGGCCCATATCGACGGCATCTTCAACTCTGCAATTCCCTCGCTTCGGACCTGATCCAAGGCGGTTTTCAACGGCTGCTGCGCATCCATCTCCTCGACATTGCCCTCGATAGGGCCAACATACCGTCACCATGTCTGGTTCGTTTGGGCCCTTGCCGGCTCTCCCCGCCATACACCATAACTGACCTGCAACACCCTCTTAGCCAGCGCATACGACCGACACATCACCATCTTTGCCGACAATGGTCGTCTGTACCAAGTCGGTAAGTTGAAATCCCCAATAAACAAGGCCGATTCGACTGCATGGATCGATCTGCGTCGTTCGCACCTAGATATTCAGCCTGAGCCGACCCAACTGCTGACATCTCGAACACAGAATATGCCTTCAAGGCAATCACAGCTGCAAACATCATGTCTGTAGGCCTGCGAGGCAAGGACTGCGCCGTTGTCTTGTCACAAAAGAAGGTTCCCGTACGTATTTTGGCCTCGGAACACCTCGTGGCATGGGCTGATCTTGGGAGTGCAGGATAAACTGATCGACCCCTCATCTGTCTCCCACATCTTCCAAATCTCGCCCTCCGTGGGATGCGTCATCACAGGCTCCATCGCAGACGCCAGAGCATTTTCCCAGCGTGCTCAATCAGAAGCTGCAGAGTTCCGATACAAGTACGGCTATGAGATGCCAGCTGACGTCCTGGCCAAGCGACTGGCCAACATCAGCCAAGTGTACACCCAGCGTGTAAGGACAACCCCTGCTGCCGGATGAACCTTGGGAACTACGTCACTGATGCTTTCTGCTAGGCCTACATGCGACCCTACGGCGTTGCCACCACAATCATCAGCCTAGACGAGGAGCGGGGACCCCAGCTGTTCAAGTGCGATCCGGCCGGATATTTCATCGGCTACAAGGGCACTGCTGCCGGACCCAAACAACAGGAGGCTATGAACCACCTGGAAAAGAAGCTACGAAACAAGGAGCATGCTGAGGGATCCTGGGAAGAGGTTGTCGAGCTGGCCATCACAACGCTGAGCACAGTTCTCAGCATGGACTTCAAGAAGGGAGAGATTGAGATTGGCATTGTCGGCGGACCTCGGGCGGATGGCAAGGAGGGCACGGAGCCGGGCTTTAGAAAGCTCACCGAGGACGAGATTGAGGAGAGATTACAGGCAATTGCTGAGAAGGATTAAGTAAATCGCATAGATGGATTAATGAAGCAACGCAAGAGACGTCTGTTGTCTGCCTAACCAAAGGGCTCTAAGCACCCGTTAGAAGGGCTGTGTGCTGTTGGGATTCGGTCCTATTCAGCTTGAAGAGTTAACAAAAACCCGGTGCCTTCCAAGTGCTGATAGCCCGTGGGAATTTTCTTATTTCTAAACGGGTGCCTAGAGTGTCCTAGGAAAATAGGGCGTAGAATCTTGCTTCGTTGGGGGGGAAAAGGTTGCCTATTGAGGTAACGGGATTTTTTGAGGCAGCCGTAATACTGAACACCTAACACAAAATGGAGCACTACTACGTGTTCATACGAGGACTGAGCACATGTGATGTTACGGCATGGCCACTCTCGTACTCGTAGCCGAGAAGTACTTGTACAGTTGCATTGAATAGGATAGACCGTACGGTGAGGATCCAAGCAACTGGAAAGGAGAAGTCAAGGTTAGTCGTAGCCGTAGCTCATGTGACAGACAGTCTTAATCCACAAGCTGACTCTTAGACTGTCCGGGGAATATGAGGGTGACCCGCCCAAGGCCGTTGAAATGGCAATTTCGTGGTAACCTATGTTGGTGCTGATGCTCAGGGAGGCACAAAGGGCATACGAGTAGTACTCCGTAGTATGAGGCGGTAATTGGGATTTGATATGGGCCCCCGCTGGTGGAGGCTAAGGAGCAAGGGCTTCTCGAACAGGGCGAGCAGGGGGGCAGCGGAAGACGCAGCTTTTATTGGCAAAGTCAGGCGCTATTCAGTGTTTAATAAACCAGATGCGCGTTTGATTGGGCGTCTGGTGGGATTGTGATTATCAAGCGACCACTAGGCAGTAATTGGGCTCGAAAGCTGTCAAGCTACTGTACGGGTAAAGTAGGTGCCTTGGGACTTGTATGAGACGTTGGCTCTCCATTAGTAAGGGCCATGCGTGTGCATCTTGGGAAGATGTCAAATCACGACTGCAGCGGTCGAGTGCAATTTAGAAAGAGCATAGATGAGTGACAAGATATGGAGAGAGTTATAGCAGCAAAGCATCATAAAGCACTGGAGCTCCGAGAGCGAAGAAAATTGCCCCTGATGAGGAACCCCTAAACCAGGTAGGACAGTCTAGCACAGAATTTCCCCTTGGAAATTGTACTGCGGTTGAGCTGGGGACGGTGTTCATTTTGGCAGCTACTGATTAGGACTAGCGCTACTTGCCCCTCGACAACTGGAGCGCTAGACCGGATCATCCCGTTAGCGGCTATTCCCAAAACGGCACTAATTTTCTGTTTATTTCTCTTGATTTTTGCTTTGTTGATTTTGCGACTGCCTGCCGCGCCGACTGGCCTCGACTGGCCGTTTTTTTTATTACCCAACTCCTCCCTCTCTTCCTTTTCTACATCTCCCACCTCTTGCATTTCTTCGCATCTGAAGCTGCAGCAACTCGATTCTCCTATCTCCTTTTAATACAAACTATTTTCTTTAGCTTCATCGCCCAGTCTTCAAAATGCGTGAGATTGTGAGTTTGTTTTGGTCCTTTCCCTCCCCCACCTTGAGAGCTGGCGTTGGGAGCTTCCTCTCACGCGCCCACCCGTCTTCAATGGGCACCCGAGCTCTGACTATGGTGGCCCTCACTGGGAATCAAAATGTCCATATC